ATTAAAAATCTTACTGTTCAAAAACTGTTGACTGGTAGGTTATATAGATTACAGAAATGTTATATTGTAAGGTTTTATATATATATATATATATATATATATAACATTTCTGTCCCCCTCACTTCTGAAATGATGGCTACGCCCCTGCAGTAGGGTTTGAGATTTCAACAAACCCTTAAGTATTAAACTACAGCATACATGTCATCCTGCAATGTTTGGCGCAGGCAGTAAAAGAAACCTCCAATTATTCAGCTTTTCTACGACATTTTATACAGAAAATGTCCCTTTTATGTCTGAGAGATGGATCTTTACTAAAACAGATTAAAAGTTTCCTTTTAACATGAATGCTACATTAAAAAACATTTGGTAATGTTTTACCACGTTTTTATTATTTATTTTCAAAATACTTTAATGTATAGGTGTTATTGTTAAACCCTGTCCCAAATTTTCAATCTTAAGTATGAAAATCCATTTTTAAAATATTAATTATTATGTTTAAAACTAAATATATCTAAGCAAAGAGAAAAGTAAACATATACACCTTTGTATAGTTTGTAGTTATGTTTATGTTATGATTAAAATGATTTAAAAGTCAGAGTAAAATTTTTTTGTGTAGTTTTATGATTATAAAGTTACGAGTACAAATGTATGAAAATATTATTTAATTCTGTGTATTTAGCATGCTAAATGCTAGCTAAAATTAGCTTCAGTAAGTAAGCTATTTTACTCCAAAAATATTTAAAATGTCATTTCATGTCATGTCAAATGATATTTATTCATAAATTGATGTATAATCAACAGTGAGGGTGTGAAAAGTGTATTAAGAGTTGATTTTCCACAAGACTGTAGATAAAGAAACACCCATAAATAAAATGATGTAAACTGAATGGTCTCATAACTGTAACTGCAGCATGATTGAGGCCACTTGAGAAAGATTTACCAGCTTTAATTAGTGACCTTCCTGTGCTAATTTGCCGACATGACCTCATGACGCTCCTGGAAACTGTGTCAGGGATTGCTGGTGAACAATACAAATGCACCTCAGGGAGCTGCTATTTATCTCTTCAGAATAGCCCTGGTTAGTAATGCAGTACACGTTTTTGATTTACAGTACATTTATTACAGTTCACGTAGAGGAACCTGACATTATAATGAACCATTTTCGTGAAACACCCCCTCTGGGATTTAAGCTGCCAACCTTTAAATTACTGGATCTTTAACCGCAAGGTCACACCACCCACAAAAGGTCTCCTGTGACTGTTCCATTGTAGGCTGCATCAATAATAAAGATGAGTCAGAAAACAGGAAGTATAGGTGGAGAACATAGAGAACAATCTTCAACTTAATAACACTGCAGTACGTCTTGTCAATGAAATGTGCTGTGAATTTACCATTGTTGCTTAATTTATATGCATAATTACCATCACTCTGGGAAATTCATGATAGACAAAACACTAACGTAATCTTTGTAAAGTAATCTTTGTCACAAGAAAATGTTTTGACCCAGCAGGACTCGACCTCATGACGATCAGGCTATATGTTACCTTGCAATATGTTTTATATTAACATATAAATTATAACTTGAAATGCATTCTGTTAATTATAAGCGTAATAATTAAAATTGTGGTGAAACAGTGATGATATGGCATATGTTAGAGCAACTGCATGTGAATTTTTTACCTTGAAATATCAGTTTTAAATCATACACAGATGAAAGTCTGGCAAAAGTCTGTTCTGGTTGTATGTAAAGGTACTATACACTGTAAAAAAAAAAAGGGCTAAGCCACTTTCTTCCACTATCCACCTTATTTTACAAAGCGGAAGTAAGCCGTTTTCTTCACTATAAACCGGTGTCTTCGCTTGAACATAAAGAGAAAGGAAACATTTAAATTGCATCATATGACCCCTTTAACATGAGAAGAACTACCTAAAATGATGGAAACCATATTTGTAAAAAATAAATAAATAAATAAATAAAATATTTAAAATGTAATTAGATTTTTTTTTTTTTTGGCTCACATCCCATTTGTTTACATGGAGAGGGTGGGGTTTATGACCTATACTGCAACCATCCACCAGGGGCCGATTGAAACGTTTTGGCTTCAATTTTCAGGAGGTGTACAGCACAAACGAAACATTTACAGGACAATGATGTATTCAAAACAAATTATTTTCCTTTGCATTTTTGAAAAGTTTAACATACAGACGACAACGCTGTCAACACAGTCCCCATTCACATAGCTCCACGAAAATGGCTAAAACGCTGTATGCATGCCAGGCCAGTAGTTGGCGATGATAGCATAATAAGAGTTTTACAAGCAATTTTTAAAAGGTTAGTCATTTTTGACAGGGTTTTCAGGGGCTTCAAGGGCTAGATGTATATGGAAATATAATGTGAATAGGTCTAAACTTCTTCTACTATTGCTGCTTATTTTATTTATTTTTTATTTTTACTGAAGATTTGGTTTATTCTGTTTCATATTTAAGGTATTGTTATAATAGTGTTACTCAAAAATGCTAAAATGTTTGTTTTCCTAAATTGGAATGGGTCTAATCTTGTGAAAATATGATGACTTGCCACAGATGGAGCTCATAATTAATTATATCCAGAAAAGGCTGTGGGATACACGCAACTGCAGAACTTTGATTATGTGCCATGTAATGGTTTCTGGTTATGTAATCATTGTTATTTGCTCTGCTGTTAAACTAAATAAGCTGCAGATATGCACATTTGTTATGATGATATGTCATACCAAATGCCAGTGTGTATTTATTTTTTTAAATTCACTGGTGCATAATGACACTAATGGTATCAGATGCCAGTCGATATGAACATCTTTTGATCTAAAGTGCTTGTGCTTATGCTGTGTAGGAAAAGTGAAGGAAAAGTCAAGTCAAGTCACCGTTATTTATATTTTTTATTTATTGCTTTTAACAGTACAGATTGTGTCAAAGCAGCTTTACAGTATTAAATAGTAAAATAGTGTGTCAATAATGCAAAATTACAATGGTAAACACTCAATTTTCAGTTAAAGGCAGTTCATCATTGAATTCAGTGATGTCATCATCCAGCTCAGTTCAGTTTAAATAGTATCTGTGCAATCAAGTCGACGATATCGCTGGAAAATAAGTGTCCCCAACTAAGCAAGCCAGAGGCGACAGCGGCAAGGAACCAAAACTCCATCAGTGACAGAATGGAGAAAAAACCTTGGGAGAAACCAGGCTCAGTCAGGGGGCCAGTTCTCCTCTGGCCA